TTATTTTATATACAAGGAGTGAAAATGCACTTTGAGTTTAAGTTAATTGTTTGTGTGGCGATGTGCCAAGGCGATGAGTTTATAGTGTTCATTTTAGATGTTTATAGCAATGGTGCATTCAGCACGGACTGTTACTTGTGCACGTAATCATGCTTTATATAATTATTTAGCCCGCGTGCAGGCCCAAGGGAGCAGGCTCAAGGGAACTTGATAGTGGGCCTGCAAGCAAGGCCCGGTATTTTGTACTTTCCGCGTTCGCCCACGAACGCGGCATTCTGATTGGCTGTTTGCTGTTGGATTCTATAATTAGGTCAGTGATTCATCACAAAGGCCTAGACAAAGGCTCTCGATAAGCTTAAAATTCGAAAATTGATCACTTTTTTCGATTACAAATGGAACAAGTACAGACTGTTTATTGTTTACTTGAAGGAAGAGATGTTTTTGCCGTTATGCCAATGAGGATCGCTTGTCGTGAGGTGTTGGAATAGCAACATTTAATACGACTGGGGTAAACTATAGTAACCTTTACTTGAGTTTCATTAATTTCAAACAGACTTGATACGTTATATGTTGGTTGATGTTGAGATGCAGTTGCATGTAAGCCTATTCGAAACACTTTGCGATTTACAAGGCTTCGGTGAGAGAGCAAAACAGAAGACGGTATTAAATTGCCGTTTGAAACGAAACGATCTGGACTCTGAACGCTCTCTTCTTTTGTAGAGTTCTCACCAAATGAAATAACTGAAATAAATTTCGTACTTTCCGCCGCCAACAAGAATTGCACACACGATCTGATAAGTGAGACAATTTATTTATAACCGAATGGCGACAGCGAAGCAGTGAGCTCACATTTATAAATGCTGATGTGGTCGCACGACTTCCCTCACGATTTGAAGTTTGAGACTGTTTTCTGTTGAAATTCGTCTTAATTTGCCTGTTCCGATTTTAGTTGAAAATGAGCACTTGTAAATTTGGCAATTACTGACTGCGTTGCTTGCGTTTTTGGAGTTTTAACACAGGCATTTACACATTGTTTCTATTTTGAATACTAGTATTAAAGCAGAGAAAACCCCGCAACATTTTAATGCGACTTTGTTTGTTAATATTTGGGTTGCTGTCATTGGTTCTTTTTTGACAATTGACGCGCGAATGGGGCGTGTTATGAAAAGGGGCGTTTTACAAAATACCGGGCCTTGCTTGCAGGCCCACTATCACTTCCCTTGGGCCTGCACGCGGGCTAATAATTATTGAATAAGATTCCTATAGCAACCCAGTGTGTGGATTGTTGTCTGTATATATTAACTTACCAGGCTACCAGCAGTTACATGCAAATAGCATGTCAACCGACTTTTGTACAAAGCCGGGTATCGTGCATGCCTGATGGCCTGTTTATATCTCTGAGACATGTCCATTGTTAAAGATGCATTACAGTCCGTATGTAAACAAAGGCTTTGTTTACATTTCGGTATCCAAAATATAGAATTTTATTCGAGAACTATTTATTTTTCATGATTCTAGAGTATAATAAATTATCAAGACACAACAATCAAGCTTTGCAAGAACATACAACGACATAAAACCTAAATAAACTGTTTGTATAAAAAAGAGGGCTCCTTTGTGCACATGCTCAGATCGGACTGTACAGCATCTTTAACATAATATGAAATAATCCTACCGACCTATAGTACTCATACATTCACCTGGCTGTGTCATGCAATACATTTCAGGGTATGCTATTTATTCTTGGGTTTCACTAAGGCATTATGCAGTGAATCTGACTGGGGGTCAACCTCAAATGTATTGATGCTTATGCTGTATTGGAGTGAGAAAATGATACGAAATTCCATGTATTGCCACCAAACACAAGGCTAATACATAAAACGAGCAATCGACTCACTCTGATAACTGACTGTTTTGTTTTTAAGTTGACCCCCTGTCACTTCTGTGACGTCATATGAAACCCAAGAATATTCTGCGATAATGCTCACAATTTCTTATTATATAGTTTTGCGGTTATGACTGAGTACAATCTCTGACTGAGTACAATGAATGGTGTCATCTGAAGCTGACATATTAATTAATAGATTTTGTCTCCCCATCAGATTGTTCGGTTGATTTGCAATAGGGGTAGCCTTGAAGATGCCAATGTAAATAATAATTGGGAAAAACAGACTTAGTATTTCTACAGTGTGTCTCAAAAAAAAGTGAACCCTTTCAAATTCAAATTAGCTATAACGTATTGTAGTAATTTGACAGCAGTCTAATTGCATTGAATTAATAGTTGGGTAAGAACACAAGGTATACTGTATTTCTTTTAAATTTTCTAATCTTTATTTCTTTGAGTTTTGTCCCATGAGTACAAGACCTTGTGTTCTTACCCAATCATTAATTCAAAGCAATTAGAGCTGTCAAATTTGAAAGGTTCACTTTTTTTGAGACACATTGTGTATATGATATTATACAGTATTCAGTGGCTAGCTAGCCATGGCAACTGATATATTATAAACTTGCATATTTGAATAATGCAAATAATTACAAATTTGCATAGTTTATGACCTTTTGGTATGGCTAGCTTTGCCACAGACAGTATAATTGTATTATATATACAAAAACAAGAAATTATAAGCATTGAAGGTATTCATATAAAACTGCCCAATGCCAACTGAAGTAGAAATAGAATATTTAGCTGACCTTTGACTTTGTGCAAGGTGTTTGATATTCAAGTTGCACTTTTCCTACCTCATGAACAGGTGTTTTAGGGGCTGTTTACTGTAAATATTGGAAGGCGGGGTGATTTTAATGTATTGAAATAAGTCAACAGAATTCAAATGTTGCTCCTTGAACAACCTTTAGTTTACAGTTAACTATGTAGTTTTTTGTTGAATCGTGCACAGTAATTTATTTTACAAGTAATACGGCAAAGCAGGATCATATAAACTGACCCTTATTCAGCAAATTCTGCATGCTGCCTTTGATCCCTTGGGGGTGAGGCAGCACTTTCCTTGCGATAGTAACTTCTAGTTTAATTCAGTAATAGAGCTCCTAGAACATATATTGCTTGCCATCATATATCCGTGACGCTGACGTCACAATTGGCCAATTCAAATCATACTTGTTGAAGTATTATCACGAAATGACTGAACTTATATATGACATTAAGGTGGCTCAATACAGTTTTTCAAAAAATGGAAAATTCACGATTTAGATGCGTATTTTTGGACAATTGTTACTTGTTGATAAACAAAAAGTACCTTACTTATATAAAACAATATCTAAGGATTTTGAATTTTTGCACAAAAGTTACGCAACTGCCGTTGCTATGGCAACAATGACGTTTCAAGATGGCGGATATTTTGGCTTTAAAGTAATTTAACTCGTAAACGACATCGGTGACCCCAAATTTTGTTTTAAAAAATTATTTCCCTTAGTATAATCAATTATTTTGACAATTTTAAAAAAATTCTGTGGAGCCAAAAAAAAAGATTATTATGAATAATCACCTTTACGTAATTTAAAACATTTCGGCTCCACAGAATTTTTTACAATTAAATTGTCAAAATAATTGATTACACTAAAAGAAATCATTTTTTAAAATAAAATTTGGGGT